GAAAACTCAGTCGCCATTTTTAAACAACTGAAAACATATATTATATTCTTTTAATCAGCGACATCCCCCTTTCATAGGTATTTTAATCTTTATTATTATCATTATTAATATTTTTATTAAAAATAAATGATATATTTGAATTCAATTTGATCTAATTATTTTAAATATCATTTTTAATATTTAGCGTATTTTATTATTTTTTGACTTATGTCCTTCTTACGTTTACTGTGTGGGTTATCTGTTCTGAATTATTATTATTATTATCAAAATGTTTTGCCTATTTTACCTCCTTGCAAAATATATCTTCAGTATTTATTTTGACCTGAATTTAATTGATTTTTTCTCTTTATCTTGTCTTGAGTGTCTTATTGTGTGTATCGCTGTGTATGAAAAGCGCTAAACAAATAAAGCCTTATTATTATAATTATGTATACCCTGTGCATTTAGATGTTATATACATGCTGCCACCCAATTAAAGAAGGGAATAAATGCAAATATGTAGTTGATTTCAATAAAGTGGATGCCTTTGTTTGGCCTCCTGCTGTGACGACTCATTAAAAACCTTCCTCTGGAGTGAAAACAGAATACATCGTCCCAGATCTAAAACCCCCGGGATCTCCCCTTCCCTGGGGTGAAAAGAGACATGTGTGCAGAGATTTCACGAGATGTGTTTCAGGGTGTGTTTGGAGTACAGAGGGCTCGCTGTTAGAATGGGAAGATTAGGTTGCTAATCTTCTCGAAATGTTGTTCCAAGGGTTTGGTTTCTTATGAGCCCATCCCCTGCTAAAAGGACACATTAGAGACCTGGGTTGTGTGTGTATCACCGTGTGTGTGTGTGTGTGTGTGTGTCCAGGAAAAGGAACAGACTAACGAGCCGTATCTGCCCTTGTCAGCGTTGCATTCCCGCGGCCAGGTGGGGTGAAAAATGAGAGCGAGGACGGATCTGCAGCCGGTTTGCAGATTTATGGCTCGCTCTAGGCAGAGCGCGGCGACTACAGTACAGCGTGTCCTGCTCGGCGGGATGAAATATCTAAAGTCGGGAGACACAGCGGCTTCCTGTGACGCCATCTGTCACACCACACCCACCCAACATATCTGAAATGTGTAATAAGGAACAGACATACAGTTGCCTTTAAATCCCAGATATCTGAGATTGCCTCTGACGGTGGCTCTGTTTTTCCAACTCGTTCAAAATCTTTTTATTAGTTTTTTTGCTGACATGGCACTTTCAGCACATTATATATAAGTACAGGACAATTCGTTATTTTTCTGACAGAAATAGGTCAAATGTGACAAGGAACAGACATGATTAAAATCCAGAACACGATCGAGAACTTGCCCGTGAATCCAAATATCTCTGATTTGGAGCGATTGAATGAGTACTTCAATGCCAGGGTTTATTGTCATGTGTACTTTTGAGCCATGCAAAGACATACTGTTCCTTCCATGTTCTCTTACAGGTTTATCTTGTTTTAGTTTTGTTATTGTAACACAAATACTCGGTTATGCAATGCTTCTACTCACCAGTGCACAAACACAGAAAGTTTTTGCTTGTCTTGGGACAAACGTCCGAAAACAGTTGAAAGACAATGCGCCCGACTGTAAAACACACACAAAAAGAGCAAAATATTAACGCACACCATCATCTTTTTCATGTTTAATGATATGAGGCTACACAAAATGTGAGGGATGGCACATTAATAGCCTTAGGAGGCAATTAAGAGTTGTAGCATCCTTTTTACTACGCTGCACACTTTTGATTGGCCTCCAATTGTGAGAAGAATCCTGCGGTGAAGCTCAGACTTTGTATACACTTTTCTATAGCCAGGAGCAAATGGAGAACCACCCTTACATCCTGATTGGAGCAGAGCTCTCCTTGGCCAAATATGACCGTTTATTTAAAGGCCTTTAAATTCACATCAGTTGCACAAAGCCGACTGTTATTACCACAAAACCACAACATACAGTAAAAACATATTTTTTAATGATGTCACTTATCGGCTGTTTACATATTATACTTTTCAAAAATGCTCTTACCTGGCTCCCGGTTGAGCTCCACATCAAAGTAACACTGAGGGCGGTCTTTCACCCCCATTGTCACCTAAGTTACCTGAAATGAAGAATAAAACCAAAAAAGCTAAGCAGGAAACATGAAGAGAATGAACTTCTGTTTAAGAAGCAGTCAGCTGTACAGAATATTTAAAGGAAGTGTGCCGGCAAACAAATGTAGAGAGACTGAAAGACAGAGAGCAACAGAAAGGGGAGGAGAGAGAAAGAGGGGAGGGGGTGAGAGAAGTCTATGGGGAGATGTATTGGCTTTGCATATCACAAGTAGAGCATGGCGTTGCTTCCTCGTTTCCACTCTCTACTTGGGTATCAATGTATATCAATATCTCCTGCTGTAATAAAGACAATAGACTTGTTATATCTTCACACTAATATGTGGTGTGTGAGCAGCAGACACACACCGATGCATCCTCTCTGCTGGACAGTGTATTGCTGGCAAAACAGCAGAGCGTCCAATAATCTGTCTGGATTTATTAAAAGCTTAAAGGGATAGTGGAAATCCGCGAATTTTGGGTTTAACTTATGTATTTTTATTAAAAATAAGCATAATAAACATTTTTATTTTATTTCATGCGCCTAGTTTCATTTTATTTTCAATTTTACTGCGCCCTCTCAATGAAACGAAATACTTCGGGAATCGTCGGGAATCTTCGGGTGATGACGAGAGCTCAGGAAGACGGGCACAAACAATGGCGGACATTCAATAGCATTTGCATGTGAATAGCCGACCTTTATTATGGTGAATAGATGTGTTTTGTATGGCTGTAGTGCGACAGAAAAATTCTACGTGACACAACGACATTGGATTAACCTTGAGATGCGTTTTTATTCCGTTGAACACAACTTTTGATCACAAATCAAAAAAGGTAAGACGTAATTATTGTAATATTTTTGGAACCGGATGTTGTTTACTTTCTCTTTTCTGGCTGATAGCTCCAGGAATTCGAGGTCTTACAGTGATGACATTACATGTGTGGAATCTGTGGAGTCTCAGCTTTAAATCGTATATCTTGTTTGTGCAGTTAAGATAGTAATAAGGGCATTTCCACCGTGTGTTGTGTGTAAAAAAGCGTTAGCATTAGTTAGCATTGTTTCGCTCAATGCTAATTCAAAGGCTTGGTATTACTCTTGTGTTTTTTCTAGCTAACAATTGTTCTTATTGTCAGTTAGCGGAGTTTCTTACCTTTAAAAGGGTATGAAACATTAATAGTTTCATAAATGTTAAGAAGCCCTGAAACATGTGAGAGAAAAAAAACGGTGGGAGGGGTCCACTGGGGGGACCTTCGGGCTTAACTGGTTAATGATTAATATTTGTAAAGGCTACAGGTGATCTTAAGATGCGTGAGCTATGCTTAGGGACCTACCAGTCAAGATTATTTGTGCGTAGGGGTGCATCATCTGGCGCCTGGTCCTGGTCGTCCTCGCCATTGCCCATGCCGTGAACCATCACCTCGGGCTCGGGCTCGAACAAATAAGGACGTAATGGTCCATCGTCTGGCTCAATATTGTCACCATCGTCGCTTACTGAACCGGATTCAGATTCAGTTCCTAAAACGACATTTTCGTAGGAAAGCCGAGAGGATGTTTCTGACTCGTTATCATCACTGGATACCTCGTACAATCCTTCTTCTTTGTCTGGTATATTTGCCCTTCCACGTTCATTCTGCATAGACGCCATGGTTTGTTATCGTATCGTCTTCCTAAGTTTTCGTCACTTCCGGTTTGGCTGAGTCGAACATTTCGTTTCTAAAAAACTTCGGCTAAGCTGCAATAAAGTGCTTCTAACATGCGTAAGGCAATTATTATATTTTTTTAATCAGGTGTGATTGTTTTGGTACGTAATTATGCTTGTATATAAGTTTAAAACGAAACTATTTGAGGTTCCATTTCCACTATCCCTTTAATCTTCTCACAATTTGAAATACACAGGGTGTTCAGGAAATGCTTTGTCACTGTGCTGACATGTTGTAATTATGAAATGACTTGTGTGTTTTGGGTGTAGTAGTGTGACAAAGAGATAAGAGATCAAACAGTATTTGATTATGATTTTCACTGGTGTTTGCTGTATGTACATTCACAGCTAACAGTGCAGCTGAGTTTTACTGCATTCACATTTCACACTAATACAAATATGTTGGGAATGCAGTGTATTAATAGAGTCTTATCGTGTTACATTGAATGTGTTGATGTAGACATTGTAATAATAAGCAATACTCACAACAACTCAAGGAGAAGTCTGAATTGTGCAAAGTATTATCAGTTATTTAGTTGCACACCTATAGAATTGATCATAATCTGCAATGCTACTGTTTTTGAAGCAGAGCAACATTTAACAATATTGCAACATTTTGAAACCAACCTAGTTAACTTATAATAAACACCAGAGACCTAAACTAGATCTCCTCCAGGGCATGAAGACCGCAGTGACTAATACATGATTTAAAAGCAGTCAAAATGTAATCCATCACAAATGGTGTCAATCAAAAACAAGGGACAGCTGATCAAAACACAGTTCACATGAAACCGTTAACCCACTAATGTCAACATGCACTATTTGTATAACAGATAACAATCAATACTGCAAACAATCTTAAATTACGACATGTTTATTCCCAGTGACAGAAAAAAATATTTAAATGTTAAATATTGTAAACAAAAACGTTGAAGCTTCCAAAATGGTTGTGCTAACAGCTAGCAGCTAGCTCTCTTCCGTCCAGCTCACAGTTCGCACTTAATATTCACATGTTACGTGATGTTAAAAAGAACAACTTGATATTAATGTGCTAAACACAAAGCGTTACTCACCTCTGCACAGTAGCTAGCCAAGTAATCAGCTAGTCACTGACGGTGCTAAGTTCGCTTTTAAGTGAAAGGGTTGCTGCGCTGCATTATGACTACGACTGGTTTTGAGTTTTTTGACCCTCTGTAGATTCCGTAGTAGATTAATATTTTTTGCAGCTTTTCTTAATTTTTTTATTCAAGGACATATAAATATAATATATTTTGCATACTATAATCTTCTCATCAGATACAGAAATAGGAAATAATCATTTAAAAAAAGATACATTCAAAACCCGACTGGTTTTGAATGTTTGGTCCCTCCCTTGTTTCCGTAGTGCATTTGTTGTGGTTCTTTTGTATCCGGAAGAATATGTGAAGCTAGCTCGTTTGCTAATTTAAATATAACTTCTTCCGCTTATGTTATAACACATGTTGTATGTTTAAATCTCTGTATTTAGAAAATACGCAATTGTAACTTGTATGTGGAGCTTTTTGCTGGCTTACTGCTGCATTATAGGATGCTATAGCAAGCTAGCCTCCAGGAGCTAAGTCACAAAGTGCAGCATGAAACCCATGATACTGAGGTAAGGTGTTATGTGTTTCTACACCTATAGAATAACCATAAACTGATATTGTTTACTGTTTTAAAAGCAGGGGCATTTTTACCAATATTGCATAATTGAACAACATACGTAGTTAACTAGTAATAAACACCCAGTTGTCAGTCCTGCTGAAACTAGTGTATGTTGATATGCAAAGAAAACAGGACTATTACATTATTCTTTCATGTTTATCTTTTGCCAGAACTATTCCAAGAGTAGTAGCTCATATAACTTTATTTGATGTAGCTTTTGATTAACTGATATAGGAAGTCAAAAATCAATGTGCAACTATTTTGATCATGTTTAAATGTTCAAACCAAAAAAACAATCCTCAGTTGTAAATAAAAAACAAAATAAGACATTTAGAGTTGTCAGAGGTGCCTTTAGAGACATATGATGAGTATTTTTTAACAATTTTATATTTTTTAGACCAAAAATGAATGGATTTGTTCAAGAAAATTAACGTGCAGCCCTAACATAGCATCACTGATGGTTTGCTCTTCACCCCATGCAGGCAGTGTGTTCTCCATGGACCCAGTGGATCATGCCTCTGATCCTGTTTGCCTTCGTGGTTCGGCTCAGGGATGGACTCCCCCTGTCGGCCTCCACAGACTTTGAACACTTCCGAGAGCTCCAGGAGAGGAAGCAGCAGCTCAGGACCATCAGCAAGACCCTGGCCCGATTCCCTGAGAGAGGGACCGTCAAGGGCCAGGAGCTCAACATATTGTAAGGATTCAGGAAACAAAGCGGCAGCAGACTGTCTGTAGATCAGGGGGGTCCAAACCTTTTTCACCGAGGGCCACATAAGGGCTGGGCCGCTCACTCGAGGTATATCGCCTCATAAGTTCAGTTATAAGTTAGCAAAATCAATCAGATGTAGGTAAATGATGCTTGTGAGTGTTGGCAGCTCATCCCTTAAAACAGAAGCCTCAGATTGATTATAATAAGGAGAAATAGGAAGGTTGTATTTCAAGCTTGTTATGGAAATAAGTAATTGGGCTTTTCAAGGTTCTTTATTGTCATACGAACGTAGCTACAGAGTAGTTATGTCGATGAAAATCTTAGGTCACAGGCTTCTCCAACGGTGCAACACAATAACACAGATAAACAGACAAATATAGTGCAAGTAAATATTAAAAAGTAAATACAAAAAGGAAAATAGTTTTAAAAAAGTGAAATAGAGTCTATTGGAATGATATATTAGACAAATAGATACATAATTACTAAGTAGCAGATGAATGTTATGTTCAGGTGTTTAACAGTCTTATTGTCCGGCAGTGGCTCAGTCAGTAGGGGCTTGGACTGGGAGCCGTAGGGTCGCCGGTTCAAGTCCCCGACCAGACCTAAAATATGGAGTGTGGACTGCTACTTGGAGAGGTCCCAGTTCACCTCCTGCCCTGCCGTGGTGCCCTTGAGCAAGGCACCGGACATCCCCCTTCCCCCCTCACTCCCATTGCTCTCCGGGCGCTGTACAATAGCTGCCCACTGCTCCTAGACTCCTGGTACTGGGATGGGTTAAAAGCAGAGAACACATTTCACTGTGCTCTGCATGTGTGACCATTAAAGAGGGTTTCATCCACCTATCATCCTGTGGGATGAAACTGTCTCTGAGTCTGGTGGTTTTGTCCGGATGCTGCGGTAGTGCCTGCCAGACGGGAGCAGACTGAACAGTTTGTGGCTGGGGTGATGGGGGTCTTTTATAATCCGGAGGGCTTTCTTCCTGAGCCGCTGGGAGTAAAGGTCCTCCATGGATGGCAGCTCCGTCCTGGTGATGTTCTCTGCCGTTTTCACCACTTTTAAGATGTGAAAATGTTTCCAACTTGAATTGACTGAATATATTTGAAAAGTGGTCTCATTAACACATGAATACTACTGTGTGATATATGTTTACATTTATATTCAAGAAGTACAATATAAGACAAGCACAAGTTTCATTTGTGGGCCGTACTCCATTATACTTTTTGAATTAAGTTTGGACACCCCTGCTGCTGTAGAGGTTCAGGGTGTATCTGAATGTTTGATCACAGGGGCATCGGTGTCCCGCTGTGTCAGGCTGTTTGTTTACTAAACACCTTTCTGCTCTCACCTGTTCAGCTTCATCTCTTCAGAGGGAGTGTCCTACATGACGGTGTGTCACTGCAGCCTTCCTGTGGCTAAGGCCTTCTGCTTCCTGGAAGACCTGCGCTGGGAGTTCACAACATGCTTCAATAGCACTGCTGTTTCCCTGGCAGACAGGCCATATCCATTTTTGGAATTTGGTGAGTATGAGGAGAAATCTGTTGATCATTTGGGCGGATCAGAGGATTTGGGGAATCACAAACAAAGCTCCTGTGTTGAGATGTTTTAGAAAGCCACATCTCTTTGATAAGTACTGGTCTGGCTTTAGGAACTATATAGAAAACATCCAACAACTAGGCTGAAGAAGTGCTATGACAAATACTCATGCATTTGCTGAGGCAAGTAGTTGAATCTTTCTTTCTTCTTTTTTTTGATTACTGGTAGAGGTGGGAGGGTCTGAGGGGTCTTATCATGTCAATGTGTTTTTTGGTTTATTGTTTTCATTGCTATTACTGTAATGTTACAGACAGCACCATTCAGAAGCTGAAGCAGCAGTACAACCAGAGCGGGGGTCCGGCGCTGGAGGTGACGTTGGCAGAGGTCCAGGGGGATCTGATCATCCATCCACCGCAAGAAATTAACCTGGAGGAAGTGGACCTCACCAACGGCACTGCTAATGGACACATGGAGCAAGGCCCTGCATCAGGTAAGACTGACTTGTACAACATAGCATTTATTATTCCATGTTGTTTTGTCATTTTAACAGTATTTATGGGGACTTTCTTTCAGGTCAGAATGTTAGACTGGAACCAGTGACGGCGCCAGGCATCCTCTCTCTGGTTCTTAATATCGTGTGTGCATCGTTGAACATAATCCGTGGTGTTCACCTCATAGAGTACACATTTCAGGTAACTTCAAATATGTCCATAGAGGAGTCTAGCATGCTTGTGCTTCATACATTATATTTGATGTGTTTGAATTATGTATTTTCAAAGTATTGTTTAAGGGTGCGTTCACACCTGCCTTGTATAGTCCGGTTGAATCGAACCCTGGTGCGTTTAGCCGCTTAGTGCGGTTCATTTGGGTCGGTGTGAACACAATCCGAGACCTATGAAGTGAACTAAACAACCGGACTCTGGTCCGCTAAAATAGGTGGTCTCGGAGCGCTTGCTAGTGAGCTCTGGAGCGGTTCATTGCTGGTGTGAACGCAATCCGCACCAAAACATAGGAAGCGTAGTATTTATGTGTCACAAGAACGCGGATATCTTCAAAATCTTTAGCGAAAGAGTCTTTCAAGACATCCGCGGTTGTTTAGTTAAGTAAAAATTCTCCGTCAACTAGGCCTACATAAAAGTAATGAATGAATGTTTATTTATATAGCCCAATATCACAAATGTTACATTTGTCTCAGTGGACTTCACAGTTTGTACAGAATATCAGTATGACAATACGACACCCTCTGTCCTTAGACCCTCTGTCCTTAGACCCTCACATCGTACAAGGAAACACTTCCAGAGAAAACTCAGTTTAAAGGGAACATGGGAGAAACCCCAGGGAGAGCAACAGAGGAGGGATCCCTCTCCCAGGACGGACAGACGTGCAATAGATGCCGTGTGTAAATTGAAAAGATAATACATTTGCAACATAGGTAGTCCAAATGTTTGGAAATGCATGTGTCTGTAAGAACACCTGTCGTCGGTGAAACGCCCTCCTTACTGCAGAACGTCTCATTATATGTGTTATAATGTTTTTTAACGGACGTTGTCTGATTTATATAATCATATGCGCGGGCCGCTAGAGTCTGTTGATCTTCAGATTAACAGCCGCAAGAGAATAACCTGCCGAGAGTGCCGATGCTCCATGGCGGAGGCTCCGGGAGAAATTGCCGGGATTTGCGTTTTTACCCCCTTAATGTCTGACCAATGGTTGAACAGCATTTCCGTGCACATGACTTGTGTTTAAAGTTTATAGTCCGTTTGAGTTGTGCGGTGTGAACAAACTGTGGTCTGGTGCGCAGCAGAGAGCGGACTATTAGGTGTGAATGCGACCTAAGAGAAACAATGCTGCACGGCGTCTTTCTCACTCACTTACTGTAACAAACCCATGTTTAGCTGGGGACTTTATTTAAAAAAGTTCTTGAATAAACCTACATTAATTTCAAGAGTGACAAGTTTGCAGTTTCACACGGACCTCGTTATTATCAAACTAATGCTTTCACAGCTAAATGCTAATTCACAGCTAAATGCTAATTCACAGCTAAATGCTAATACACAGCTAAATGCTAATACACAGCGGCCAGTACTTTGATAATAACGAGGTCCGTGTAAAACTGCAAACTTGTCACTCTTGTGTGAATAAACCCTAATCTGAAATAAAAGTGCTTTACTTAAAATGATGTCAAATCATCAGTTTGTGTCATTGTATGCCCTCTCCACACACAGGATGATTATGAAGGCATCTGGAACGTTGTGGCGTTTCTGCTGGCGTTTGTCTGTTGTGTGTGTCAGGTAAATATAGTTCAGTTTTATATGGTCATGTAGAAACTCACCTGTGTCGTCTCTTTCTGACACTGTTGGGAAAACACTGAATGTTCTCTTCCAACATGAGAGTCACATGATAACAAAGGTATCCCAACTGTAGCTGTGAACATGACAGGATGTGTGATTACCTAGAAGAGCATCAGGACTGTTTGAGGCATATGATAGCTATGTGATTAACATGATGATTCAGCCTCTATGGAGATAGACATCAAGCATGCTCATTTCTGACGTGGAGCTAATCTGAAGTAAACATTGAATACTGCTTTCTTCCTCCATCTTGTGACTGTGTAACTCCCTCTCTTGGATATCAGCATGTGAAGGACACTGCTCAGGAACTAGTTGGTGCTCTGTATGTGATGACTCCTTCCATTCTGGAGAGGATCACAGATACATGGATCCTGATGTTGAAGCTCAAGCCGGGGACCAGGGATTATTAACATTTTTAAGTATTCAGAAAAAGTCAGAATTTTGAGAAAAAGTCCGATTTTTTTCGATATTTGAGAAAAATTGTCAGAATTTTGAGATTTTGAGTAAAAAGTCAGAATTTTGAGAAAAAATATAGAATTTTTAGATTTTGAGAAAAAGTTCGAATTTTGAGAAATTGTCCAAACACCAACATTTTGAGAAAAACCTCAGTATTTTGTACTTGACAGGATGTATGATTACCTAGAATAACCGGTATTCCTCCATCTTGTGACTGTGTAACTCCCTCTCTTGGATATCAGCATGTGAAGGACACTGTTCAGGAACTAGTTGATGCTCTGTATGTGATGACTACTTCCATTCTGGAGAGGATCCCAGATACATGGATCCTGAGATTGAAGCTCAAGCCGGTGACGAGTGATATTTCTCTAACAGACACCATGTGACCTCTCTGTGTTCGCAGTGCCACCTCTACCTGTTCCACTCCTCTCTGAAGAAACACAAGTCCTTCGCTCTGCTGAGTGTGATCGTCCTATGCAACCTCTACCTGCTCGGCCTGAGGAACCCGTGGCAGCTGCTCTTCCACCTCTCAGTGGCCTGCATCTCCACCCTCCTCATCCTCCGCCGCAAACTCATAGACAGAAGCAATGACTGTGGAGTCTGAGGATGAGAGGACATTTTACTACGTTGCAGCGCGCACAGCTTGAGGTATGAAGAGGGGTTCTTATCATAAAATCATTCATGTTGTGTCATAACGGACAATTATAAGTACAAGTTGATATTTTCTTGTATACATTATGTACTTGCACTTTGTGTATTTGTTTTCAAGAGAATGAAAGTGACTATTTCTGGAACTTTAAAATGATCTGCAAAAGCTTCGAGGTTTTAGAAACAAAATGTTTGTGCCATCCTGTTCCAAAAATGTTTTTTAGGAAAGTTGTTTTTCTGTCAGAATTGCTGACCAAAGTTTTTCATGAAGATACAATCCAGTCCTACTTGCTATTTTTAAGCATTTCAGCTCTCGTACGGCTCAGTATTATTTCTGCTTTACAGGCTTTGATTATCTCTTTATCACAACGCTGAGTGACAGTTGGTGATTGTAACATATGCTAGTTAGTAGTGATATATCTGCTTTGGTAATGGTGGGTTTCATTTGAGGTCAGAAACAGTCGGGTAACGCGGACAATGTAGCTTTTTTTTAAATGTATTTTGCATTATTTAATCATTAGGCTTCAGCAAAACCCTAATGCAGAGGTGTAATTATTAATCTGGGGGTTGTTTCGCGCCTTATTGTATGAAAAATATTGTTTGATTTTGTTTGATTGTGTTGTCTTATACACCGGCAAGTGCTCAGCTAGTCATTGCAAAGGATCAAATGTAAGGGCTCCGTATTGTTTAATGACTACATTCAATACTGAGGGAATATAAGTGTTATATTCATTATGTTTAAGGCATGTTATATTAAGAGACATTTATCACATCAACTACATTTTTGTACGATCAAAGCAGATTCTTTTTTCTACTGATCTCGCCATTTTTAAATTGTAAAAACTGCGGGTATAAATATGAAGGCACTGATTTTATGGGTAAAATAGTTTGGAAATGAGTTGGAGTTTATTTATTTGGACTGCACGGCTAAGATTTGTTTTGCGTTGGTTACGGCGATTATTCTTGAATGTGCTGCATATCGGGTTCAGCTTTTTATATCCTGATTTATGTTTACTGTAGTTCTCAGATTCCTATAAACATCAAATCACATTTTATGATCGATGTTTGAATATAGAACAGTAGTGCTGCTAAACGAATAGGAAATGTCTAATTTTACTTAATTATTTGTAATGTTTTTGGGTATTTAGCTTCTTAGATATTCATTTATTTATAGCTTAACAGTTGCACTAATGTCTGTTAAGCATGGGAATTCATTTCTTAGTTTATTGTGACAAACAAGTACCGTTGTGGCATTGTGTAAGTATTTTACAAGGAAAGTTGGAGGGAATTTTAATCCAAATGTCCTTCACAATGTAGAAATAGTTTAGATAACGTCACTTTTAGTTAGTACAAAGAGTGAGGAGCCTTTTAATACAAAACTTAATTTGTTCCTAAAAAACGTTTGGCTAATTTGTGAGAATGGCTTTGAGGAGTAAACTGTTGTCTCTAAATCAGGGGTGTCAAACTCAAGGCCCGGGGGCCAAATCCGACCCACGACTTCATTTGATGTGGCCCGCAAGAACTTGCAAAGAATATAACACGTTTATTATACGGTTACATGCCACTTTACAGAAGCAGGTTGCCCATAAACTACATGTCCCACAATGCATCTCATTTTGTGACATGCACACTGAAGAGACTTGCAATTATTTGCCCTCGACTTCTGCTTTCAGACGTAGTTAATTATGAAGTTATTACCCTATCTGATAATGTAATATAATACATTATTTTATATATATTTATATATGTATATTTATATAGTTACAACCGGCCCTTTGAGTGCAACCATGATGCTGATGTGGCCCGCGATGAAATTGAGTTTGACCCCCCTGCTCTAGATGGTCTTTTACTGGCTCAATTTCAGATACAAAGTACAATTTTTTTATATTTTCTGTGCAGATAATTAGTGAATCTGTAATATCTTTCATAAAAAAGAGGGTTTTACTGAACCACCATTTGTACTGTTGAAAACAAGTTTTTTGACACGTAAATTGTAAAATAATGTGGGAGATATTTGAACATTTGAAATGGAAATGAAGGATAATTTAGTAGATTATGAAGGTAAATAACATACAGTAGAAATGCACTGTACAACAGAAACATGTGGAAGCCTTCCCTTAATATTTTGTTCTAAAAGTCTTAAGTGATCAGAATACAGGAAACGGTTTTAAATTATTGAATGAGGTATGTTTAACGGGACATTTTCTTAATCTTGTTCAATTACAAAGCAGTCAGCTGAATGCTTTGTATCTAATTAGACTCTAATTAGACAATTGATATTGTTTATTTTGTGGCTGCAACCTGTAATGTAATTAAATGTAACTGCCAAATACACTGGTGATGACAGGGCTTTATTTTTTCCTGCTGTGGTAAAACTGACATTTCATTAATAAACAGTGTCTTTTTTCCCATTTGTCGGTCTTTGATTTGTGTTTCCAATTATGAAAAAATGATTATTCATTATGAGGCTCATTTCACCTTTAAAAGTACAAGTATATGCTACATCCAGATAAGAAAAGCTGTTAATTCACAGTCAGACTTGGAGCAAACGATATACAGTATGTGTTTTTTCCAATATTTCACTAGATGGAGCCCTTTCACAGTTTAATCCCCATTTGAGTCAGCAGATATTTTAGTAGATGACATTTATCCAGAGATGTGAAAAGTACACACATCCTTTACTCAAGTAGAAGTACAGATACTCGTGTTTAAAAAAAATACTCTGGTAAAAGTAGAAGTACTGACTAAACTTCTTTACTCAAGTCAAAGTAAAGAGGCTTCAAAATGTACTTCAGTAGAAAGTACCCATAACTAGCAGCTGTTTTAAAGAGTACCTGACCTCCCTTTATATTAATAGAACAATAATGTCATTGTTAGCTAATGAATGTTTCCATGCTGAACAACGGCAACATGACAACGTTTCCATTGGTCCCTCTTCTTTAGAGAAGACCAGGAAATGATGGATACACGGATCGTGTTCAAATCAATAGGCACGCAATGACTCTAAAGAATAATGATCACGCATCAAACACACATTCAGACTAAAGGAACCAGCTGTTTGGAAAATGAGAGAAGTAGAAAGTACAGGTATTTGAGTTCAACATGTAAGAAGTAGAAAGTACAGGTATTTGAGTTCAACATGTAAGAAGTAGAAAGTACAGGTATTTGTGTTCAACATGTAAGAAGTAGAAAGTACAGGTATTTGGGTTCAACATGTAAGAAGTAGAAAGTACAGGTATTTGAGTTCAACATGTAAGAAGTAGAAAGTACAGGTATTTGAGTTCAACATGTCAGAAGTAGAAAGTACAGGTATTTGAGTTCAACATGTAAGAAGTAGAAAGTACAGGTATTTGTGTTCAACATGTAAGAAGTAGAAAGTACAGGTATTTGAGTTCAACATGTCAGAAGTAGAAAGTACAGGTATTTGGGTTCAACATGTAAGAAGTAGAAAGTACAGGTATTTGTGTTCAACATGTAAGAAGTAGAAAGTACAGGTATTTGAGTTCAACATGTAAGAAGTAGAAAGTACAGGTATTTGGGTTCAACATGTAAGAAGTAGAAAGTACAGGTATTTGTGTTCAACATGTAAGAAGTAGAAAGTACAGGTATTAGAGTTCAACATGTAAGAAGTAGAAAGTACAGGTATTTGGGTTCAACATGTAAGAAGTAGAAAGTACAGGTATTTGAGTTCAACATGTAAGAAGTAGAAAGTAAAGGTATTTGGGTTCAACATGTAAGAAGTAGAAAGTAAAGGTATTTGTGTTCAACATGTAAGAAGTAGAAAGTACAGGTATTTGAGTTCAACATGTGAGAAGTAGAAAGTACAGGTATTTGAGTTCAACATGTAAGAAGTAGAAAGTACAGGTATTTGGGTTCAACATGTAAGAAGTAGAAAGTACAGGTATTTGGGTTCAACATGTAAGAAGTAGAAAGTACAGGTATTTGGGTTCAACATGTAAGAAGTAGAAAGTACAGGTATTTGTGTTCAACATGTAAGAAGTAGAAAGTACAGGTATTTGAGTTCAACATGTAAGAAGTAGAAAGTACAGGTATTTGAGTTCAACATGTCAGAAGTAGAAAGTACAGGTATTTGAGTTCAACATGTCAGAAGTAGAAAGTACAGGTATTTGAGTTCAACATGTAAGAAGTAGAAAGTACAGGTATTTGAGTTCAACATGTAAGAAGTAGAAAGTACAGGTATTTGGGTTCAACATGTAAGAAGTAGAAAGTACAGGTATTTGTGTTCAACATGTAAGAAGTAGAAAGTACAGGTATTTGTGTTCAACATGTAAGAAGTAGAAAGTACAGGTATTTGAGTTCAACATGTCAGAAGTAGAAAGTACAGGTATTTGTGTTCAACATGTCAGAAGTAGAAAGTACAGGTATTTGTGTTCAACATGTAAGAAGTAGAAAGTACAGGTATTTGTGTTCAACATGTAAGAAGTAGAAAGTACAGGTATTTGGGTTCAACATGTAAGAAGTAGAAAGTACAGGTATTTGAGTTCAACATGTCAGAAGTAGAAAGTACAGGTATTTGAGTTCAACATGTCAGAAGTAGAAAGTACAGGTATTTGAGTTCAACATGTAAGAAGTAGAAAGTACAGGTATTTGTGTTCAACATGTAAGAAGTAGAAAGTACAGGTATTTGAGTTCAACATGTCAGAAGTAGAAAGTACAGGTATTTGGGTTCAACATGTAAGAAGTAGAAAGTACAGGTATTTGAGTTCAACATGTAAGAAGTAGAAAGTACAGGTATTTGAGTTCAACATGTAAGAAGTAGAAAGTTCAGGTATTTGGGTTCAACATGTAAGAAGTAGAAAGTACAGGTATTTGTGTTCAACATGTAAGAAGTAGAAAGTACAGGTATTTGTGTTCACATGTAAGAAGTAGAAAGTACAGGTATTTGTGTTCAACATGTAAGAAGTAGAAAGTACAGGTATTTGGGTTCAACATGTAAGAAGTAGAAAGTACAGGTATTTGTGTTCAACATGTAAGAAGTAGAAAGTACAGGTATTAGAGTTCAACATGTAAGAAGTAGAAAGTACAGGTATTTGGGTTCAACATGTAAGAAGTAGAAAGTACAGGTATTTGTGTTCAACATGTAAGAAGTAGAAAGTACAGGTATTTGAGTTCAACATGTGAGAAGTAGAAAGTACAGGTATTTGAGTTCAACATGTAAGAAGTAGAAAGTACAGGTATTTGGGTTCAACATGTAAGAAGTAGAAAGTACAGGTATTTGGGTTCAACATGTAAGAAGTAGAAAGTACAGGTATTTGGGTTCAACATGTAAGAAGTAGAAAGTACAGGTATTTGTGTTCAACATGTAAGAAGTAGAAAGTACAGGTATTTGAGTTCAACATGTAAGAAGTAGAAAGTACAGGTATTTGAGTTCAACATGTCAGAAGTAGAAAGTACAGGTATTTGAGTTCAACATGTCAGAAGTAGAAAGTACAGGTATTACTGTTCAACATGTAAGAAGTAGAAAGTACAGGTATTTGAGTTCAACATGTAAGAAGTAGAAAGTACAGGTATTTGAGTTCAACATGTAAGAAGTAGAAAGTACAGGTATTTGGGTTCAACATGTAAGAAGTAGAAAGTACAGGTATTTGTGTTCAACATGTAAGAAGTAGAAAGTACAGGTATTTGTGTTCAACATGTAAGAAGTAGAAAGTACAGGTATTTGAGTTCAACATGTCAGAAGTAGAAAGTACAGGTATTTGTGTTCAACATGTCAGAAGTAGAAAGTACAGGTATTTGTGTTCAACATGTAAGAAGTAGAAAGTACAGGTATTTGTGTTCAACATGTAAGAAGTAAAAGTAAAAAGTCGTCAGAAAAGTAAGTAGTGGAGTAAAGTACTGATACCAGAACATGTACTTAAGTAGAAGAAGTATTTGTACTCCACTACTTCCCACCTCTGCATTTATCTATATACGTTAAAGCCTTATCCTATAGTAATAGAAATGTACATTAGTGTAAAGCCAAACACATCTTTTGGTATAAAGTGTTCTGAACTGTAGCTCTACAGTTGTCATTATTTGCATTTGAGAAATAATCCAGTTTACAGTAAAGTTCAAAAAGGTGGGAATATATAATGCTTGGAAGATCTTTTCGTAGATGACGCATTTAAGCATTTGTGGAAATAATCGTTCTATTCTTTTGAGATCTGGCGACTCTGATTTGGTACCTGACCTATGTACTTTTGGTCAAATGTAAACAGCTGGAAAAGTCAAATCAAGTACGAAATGTTTAAACTGAATCAACTAAGGATTAAAGTCCAGACAAATATTTGTGTCCTCATTTGACTAGAGTTTTTACTCAATGACAGATCGAGTTGGGTTTACTTTAAAAATACTGCTCGGTTTTTCATCAGATAAACTGTTTATGTTGCCTGCAAACACTGTTAGAGAAGTCTTTGGATAATTGATTGCAAACTTTCTCAAATAGAAAAGAGAAAGTGTATTTCTAGTGCCTTTTTAGGGTAAAGACAGAGATTACCCCCTCTAATCAATAAGGTAGGTCTTACTTTACACAGAGATACCCATTTACCATTCACAACCTTTGACCTTAAACTACTGTATCCCTCATGGCCCATAACATCACAAATAAGCTTCTGTAAATAAAACCCTCCCATACATATCTGAGTTATTTATTTATTTTACAGACTTTGACTCAGCGGTGTCATTAGTTGTAAAGCATGCAGAGGGCTTGTCAGCATTTTCATGAATATTAAACAAGGATGTGTGAGGTTACAACCTGGAAACTAATTGAACATGTCCCCTAGAGCTCTTAGAGCCATTATATATCCACAGAGACATCACTCCTGCAATTCATCTGAATTAAATGATCAGTCCAGTCTTCATCTGCTGGGATGAACCTATTTTATCCTAATTGGCAGAAGCTCCTTGTGTTGAGAAGCTGCCATCTTTCCTTTAACAAAAATAGTTATGGGTGGTGTTAGAAATTAAAATCAATGTTGGTATGGCGTAATTTGAATTAAATACACTATTTAATTTAAATCAGTTTTATTCTGAAAAACCGGAAGTTCACTAACTATTAACTTAATACTTTTATTCTGAAAATTATTCACTTTCGGTTAGCATTAGCATGTGGCGAAATGCTGCATTTTCAAACCGGTTATTAAAGGTGAAATGACATGTGACGTTGTACACTGAGCACACTGGGGTTAGCACTCATTTATTACCGCTGAATAACGTTTATTAGGGAATGTTCAAATCACCACAGACACCAGAATGATGTAATTTAACAACAGAAAAAGGCAGGAATTGCATTGGACACGCCCCCGACGACGCCGGCCAATAGGAGAAGACCTCAGATGACAACAAGAAGAGCAAGCCAAGACCTCTTCCACCTGCTGACCTGGACTGCCCGGTCGGATGAGGAGAGCGCATC